ATGTGTCTTTCATAGGATATGACATTTCTTTATTATTTTTTTTATCCTCACCTGAGGACATGTTTCCATTGATATTTAGAGAATGTGGAAGAGAAAGGGAAAGACAGAGAAAAACATCAAAGTGAGAGGAACACTTTGATTGGTTGCCTCCTGCATGAGCGCTGACCTGGGCCCCAGCCAGGGAAGAGCCTGCAACCTAAGTACATGCCCTTGGTCAGAATTGAACCCAGACCCTGTGGTAGGCAGGCCAAGGCATTATCCACTGAGCAAAACCAGCTAGGACAGGATATGACATTTCTTAGCCCCTCCAGCAGCGGACCTTCGTTTTTTTCTCCAGGAGTGTGCTGAAAAACCCTAGATCACCTTCTTGGATTCTTATTACCCAAGTTACTAAGAATATTACCAGTGGCATACAGGGAGCTTAGCCAATGAGCGGTCACAAAAGGTGTTTCCTCTGTAGCTCACACCGATCCCCGGCTCGGCCCCTGCCCAGGCCTAAGGCCTTAGGCCGGGTGTTAGGCCTGGGCAGGGGACCCCCAGCTCTGTGCGATCGCAGGCTCTGCCCCTACCCAGGCCTCAGGCACCTGGCTGGGGCCTTAGGCCTGGAAAGGGGACCCCCAGCCCGCTCTCATCGCAGGCTCCGCCCCTGCTCAGGCCTCTGGCCAGGGCATTAGGCCTGGACAGGGGACCCCCAGCCCCATGCAATCGCAGGCTCCACCCCTACCCAGGCCTCAGGCCTCTGGCTGGGGCGTTAGACCTGGGCAGGGGACCCCCAGTCTGCTCTGATCGTCTGCCCAGGCCTAAGACCTCTGGCCAGGGCATTAGGCCTGGACAGGGGACCCCCAGTCCGCTCCGATTGTCTGCCCAGGCCTCAGGCCTGTAGCTGGGGCGTTAGGCCTGGCAGGGGACCCCCAGCCCACTCCAATCACAGGCTTTGACCCTGCCCAGGCCAGAGGGGCGTTAGGCCTGGGCAGGGGACCCCCAGCCCGCTCCAATCGCAGGCTCCGCCCCTGCCCAGTCCTCAGGCCTCTGGCTGGGGCATTAGGCCTGGGCAGGGGATCCCCGGTCCACTCCGATTGCCTGCCCAGGCCTAAGACCTCTGGCCGGGGCCTCAGGTCTGGGCAAGGGACCCCCAGCCTGTTCTGATCGCAGGCTCCTCCCCTGCCCAGGCCTCAGGCCTCTGGCTGGGGCGTTAGGCCTGGGCAGGGGACCCCCAGCCCGTTCCGATTACAGGCTCATCCCCTGCCCAGGCCTCAGGCCTCTGGCTGGGGCGTTAGGCCTGGGCAGGGGACCCCCAGCCCGTTCCGATTACAGGCTCATCCCGCTTTAGGACTGGGCAGGGGGCCCCCAGCCCGCTCCGATGGCCTGCTCTGCCCATGCCCAGGCCTCAGGCTTCTGGCCGGGGTGATTGCCGGCCTCCCCGGTCCCTGATCTGCGGCCTGGATCCTGTGGGCGGCGTCTGGCACTGCCCGCCCCACCTGCAGTCTGCAGTATGCAAATCTAACGGCCATCTTTGTTGGGTTAATTTGCATACTCTTCTGATTGGCTGGTGGGCGTGGCAAAGGCACAGTCAATTAGCATCTTTGTCTTTTATTAGTGTAGTTAGGATAAGTTTCTGATTGAATGAGCTCACCTACATTATGGAGGACAATCTACTTTACTCAAAACCCATTGATTTAAAAGTAGATCATCCAAAATACATTCACAGAAACACCCATAATAATGTTTTACCAAATACCTGGGTACCCCATGGCCAAGCCAAGTTGACACAAAATCAACAATCACAGGGATGGGAACCTGGCTGCTAGAACTCTGGGGCATAAACTGGAGAGGAGTAGAGAGAGGTCCTGGTTACACCCTCCGTCTTTTGTGCCTGCTATCTGAGTCCAGCTTCATCTTCAGAGAGTAAAACCCTGATGTTTGCCTAAAAGTGTAGTGAAGGAATTTGGGGTCTACCTGCTTCTCATGTAGGCTTTCAGCCAATCCTGTTTCTTGCCCCTCTTGCAGCTCCACTTTTCAGAGGTAATCTGGTTTCACAAATTCCTGAGTCTTTCTGGGGGTTCTCAAGCATGAATATTTTGAGGCATTTTTCTGTTGCTGCCTTAGGCTTCATTTTCTCTGTTCTGTTAAATTGGTTACTATTTTTTCATCTTCATTCTAGGTTTCAAAATCTTATTGAAATCTCTGATTTCCTGTTGTCTCCTCTCTTGTTCTCTTTGAACTTGTGCTTTAAGCCTTTTTCATTCCTTTTTAGTAAATGGGGCTTTGGGAGGATCCAGGGTTAAACACATATGTTCAATATGCCATGTTTAACTGAAAGTTTCCTTTTTTTGGTGAAGGAAGTGTTAACTTTTTAACAACCAAGATAGGTTTAGTTAAGTAGGCAATACATTCTAAAGTTCTCTCTACTACTAAATATTTGCTCTATCAAAAAAACATTTAAGCTGAAAGCAAACACTCTCATACTAATTGACATGAGTACATGCACGGAGGTCAGAAGATATTTCAGCATAGATAAACTGGGCCATTTTGGTTTTGTTAAAATAAATTTAATTTGAAGAAGCTGTTATAAAATAGAGATACTGTATTTCTAAGCCCCATTTTCTGCCTCCCTTATTTTTATACAGTATTTGATTCAATAAAATTATACTATGATAAAGCATTTTGGTTATTTCCTTGGAATTCATTTTAGTGGTATGCTAGCTCTGGGTAGTCAGATATATCAGATACGTGTATCCAGCAGTAATGACTCCTATCATTGTAAAATTAATGGTTTTGTTAAGACTTATTTCAGTTATAGGAAGCAGCTTGGCTGCTGCATACCAATTGTTAGATTTCCTAATCAGTTTTTTCAAGAATTATGATAATGTATTAATATTTCTTTTGCTCTATTTTCTTGGCTTCCCTTCTTGCCTTCCATCTTCCTATTCAAATCAAGAGTGAGTAAACTTTGAGTCATGAATATGCTACCCCTGAGAGTAAGCTGTGCTAGCAGGTATCACTGGTAAGCTTAAGGCGTGGGCAAAGAAGAAGAGAGAAAATATAAGGAAGAACTAAAATAGCAGGATAAGTCATAAAAGAGAAGACAACAGGTTGGCGAGGGTTGTTTTATGATAGTTGATTTAAATGCCTGGTTATTCATTTCTTGATTTTCTATAGCATCTTCATGTAGCGGTAATGCATAGTACAATTAGTATCTGAGTATAGCCCAATCTATTTATTTTATTGTTACTCTTTTTTCTTACCACAGAATTGAAAATTGAAAACTCTTTTATTTTATTTCAGGGAAGGCAGCCTTATCTCCATGCTTTGTTGTCGCTGTATAAGTTCTTTGTTCCCACTTTGATTTCTGTATCATTGCCTGTGAAGAAGGTAAGGGATTAAGGAGTGACAAATCATATTGAGATTGAAATCTTTTTTTTATTAATCTACAGATTTGGACTGAAATGTTTACAGCATACTGTTTTTTTTTTAAATTTATTTTTAAAATTATTTTTACTTTTTACAAACACATTTTTATTGATTTGAGAGATGGGAAGAGGGAGAGAGAGAAACATAGGTCAGCTACCATCTATACGCCCCCTACTGGTGATTGAGCCTGCAATCTGGGCTTGTGCCCTGACCAGGAATGGAACCGGTGACCTTTTGGTGAACAGAATGATGCCCAACCAGTTGAGTCACACTGGCCAGGGCAGCATACTGTTTAAGATCTAGTATTATACTGTTTCTGTGAAGTATTTTTAGGGATTGGCACTTTGATTCCATTCGATGTATTTGATAGATTCTTGATAAGTAAAAAATCTTTTAAGTGGATTTGCATGGGTGCAAAATATTTTACAATCAATATACTTTAAATTAATGAAGAGTTTTAGATTTTATGTTGTTTCAACTTATGGGTACTTACTCTTATTTACTTTACATCCAAATTTATAGGTCTATTTTAAGAATTCAGAGAATCTGTGGAAGACAGCTCTAGTTGCTGTGAGGCAAAGGAATCAGGAACCCTCTCCAGAACCTCTGAAGCTGATGTTAGGTCCAGCTACTGTCCGTCCTAGAAAAAGAGTAAGTATCAAAGACCTCAAATGATTTTTTGAGGACTTCTTTTATTAAATCCAAAAATAACCATTCAGATGTTGGAAGAGATTATAGATATTTAAATATGTTTTCATTACCCAGGATTCTATGCAAATCACATTCAGACTCCATTCATTGAACCACCTTAACTGCTTTTAGATTTATAGTTTGTAGTCTGCTTAGTTTATTGATATATTATTTTATTGTCTTTCTTCTTTAGAAATGGAATTCTCATTCACTTATACCAGTGCTAAATTCCAGTAGCCACAGTAAAGAATATGGAAAAAAAGGGATTCGTCTTTCTGATTATCTCAGTAGGAATAGAGCATTTTCAGGAGAACAGCTTAAAAGCTTCCCTCAACTCTTACAGAACATTCATTGCTTAGAGGTATGTGACTGGACCATGTGCTGATCTTTTTGTTATATATTTCCTATCTGATGATTTACTTGTTGCTCTGACCTACTTTTTACATACTTAAGTTGACTGATTGCTCTGTCTTTGCAGCTGCCTTCTCAGATGGGTGCAGTGCTAAACAACTCTCTGCTACTTCACTATATTAACTGTGTCAGAGATGAATCACTTTTACTGAGGCTCTATCATTGGTTGAGTCAAACATTACAAGAAGGTAAAAATTGATGCTTAAAAGTTGGATGATTAAGGAAGGAACACGATAGTTTACAAATGGGTTTCTTTTATAAGGGTGCCAGATTCTAGACAGGAGGAGCCTTCATCTGCTATCATTATTTCTTGGATATTTATCATATTCACAGCCTGAATGCCTCCATTTTTGTAAATTAAGGGCAGTAAGAAAGGAGGTGTGTTGTTAAGGAAATACTTCCTGGTGGCCACCAAAACCCACTGGGTGGCTCCACTTTGATGACCATTATAGTGCAAGGCCTCTGCATCTTTGTATGTCCAGAAACTTGCCTTTAAGTCACCAAAACCTATAGATCAGTGCTAATCAAATCCAGAGGAGTCTGTTGTATAAACCAGACTGTTGCCTTATTATTTCCTACTGGAAGTGATTCTGGTGACCAAAATGTTCATTTTTGCCAACTAGAGTATCTCCTCTCTGTTATGAGTATACATTGGAGCAAAATTAGTCATTAGATTTCTTAATTATAGAATTGAAGGAAAGGGCAGTCAGGGAGTTTTTCATATGGGCCATAGTAAATCCTGATAATTTGATTCCTCCAAGTGAGTCTATTTCTCTAGAGATAATATTTTGTTTACTAGATTGTTTTTTTTTCCTGAATAGGCAACTCCTGACTCTTCAAGTGTTTAAAAGTCGATTTTAGTTGGTTCCAAGTTAACACACCTTGCTCTACTTGGAATTTTTCTTTAGGTAGGGTATGATATACAGTTATTAGATTTATATGTACTAAAGTCCAGCTCACCCTAATTGAAGTTTAGGGCATTCATAAATGTACTTATTTAGTTATTTATTTGAACAAGTGTTTTAATATTTTAGATAATACTTGGAACTGTGGTTGCTTAATAAATGGAAGTTTTCATATAAAAAATAATATTAAGAATTTTAAATTTTTACTCTTCCCCAAAGCAGCCAGGGGTGACCTCTGAAAATGGTTCTCTATTCATTTGACCCAGAAAACCCCACAAAATCATGCAAATTGAGAGGTTCAAATCTTCGTGTTCACTTTGAAACACTCATGAAACTGCCCAGGCCACCAAGGGTATGCATATTTGAAAACCACCAAGTAATGTGAAGGGTGCCAGTTTACAGAAGCAATGTGTGCCAGTCCATCGTTATAATGGTGGTGTTTATAGGTGTGCCCAGGCCAAACAGTGGGGTTGGACACAGGGTCGGTGGCCCAAAAGGAGTGCTGAATTTTTGCTGCACATGCTTACAAATGCAGAGAGTAATGCTAAACTTAAAGGTTTAGATGTAGATTCTCTAGTTATTAAGCGCATCCAGCTGAACAAAGCTCCAAAGATGCAACACAGAACTTACAGAGCTCATGGGCGGATTAACTCATACATGAGCTCTCCCTGCCACATGGAGATGCTCCTTACTGAAGAAGAGCAGGTTGTTCCTAAACGAGAAGAAGAGGTTGCACAGAAGGAAAAGATACCCCAGACGAAACTGAAGAAACAAAAACTTATGGCCCTGGAGTAAATTCAGCATGAAATAAATACTAATAAAGTAAAAGCAGAACAAAAAGAATTTTTAAATTTTGAAAGGGTTTAAATAATTAGTAACCAGTCATGGCTTTAAAATTCAAACAATAGAAAAATGAGAGTATCTTAGATCATTATGTGACATAAAAGCTAATCACATTCATATATGTGAATTTTTTCACTATAGGTTTTCCCCTTGTATTAGTAAAGAACATCTCACTATTACCTCTACATAACTGTTACAATCTACAGTTATGTAGAGGGGTATGAGACTGATTGCTTGTGTATATTTGTCATTTATTTGTTATTTTAGAGTTATGGTAATTATGTTTTATGTAGTTTTTATTGCTGTGCAGCCTGATGCTTATGTTTAATATTTCTGCTGCAGAATGTATTTGGTACCAGGTGAATAATTATGAATGTGAAAAAGAATTTACCAACTTCCTGGACACTATCATCAAGGCAGAGTGCTTCTTACAAGTAAGATTCCACTTGTATACACTCCACCGCTTCTTACTAAAATGTATTTGGTTATCTATTGAACACCTTTTCTTAGTGCTCAACATCTTTTGCAAACAATATTTGCTCAATTCAGGACTCATTATAAATGGGGCCGAGTTGATTGACGTTTGTCTTTGTACTGTTGGATTTGAAGAAAATTATTTGTTAAATTATGCAAATAAGAGAACAAACTGAAGATGTAATTGGATGTGTTCAATTAATTGAATTTGCTGGTAAGATAAATCTCTTAGGGTCATTACTTGTATTCTTATAATCAGCAGACGTTTTTAAAATGTCGAATATATTCCACCAATTCTTTGGCCTGGATAGCCCTGAATTGTACTTTAAGCTGCAACTCAGGTGTCATTGGGAAACCTTTACTTAACACTGGTTTAAATGTTTGCTCTATGTGCTCCCTTAGCTCTCTTGTGTTTACTTGTATCATGGCACTTTCAGCATCTATTTTTCTACACATTATGAGCACCCGGTGAGTTGGAACCATGTCTAAATTTTTTTCATGTACAGGTGTTCAAGTTGGTACCTGATACAAAAGAGATGCTCAATAAACGTTGAATACATCTTAAGGATTTGGCGTGAAACAATGGAATTGGAAATTGGGTTTGGATACTGGTGAAGATAAAGGGATAAATTTAGGTTGACTTTAGGTTTCCTGCTTGAAAGGATGATGATGGCATTCAGGGAGAAAGGGAATATAGGAGGAGCAGGCTTTTAAGGAAAGATAAATTTGATTTAAAAGATGCCTGTGGGACATGTAAGAGGTCATAAATAGTAGGCAGTTAGATAAGAATTCTAGAGCTCAGGAATGAGACTTGGGATAGAGGTACAGATTAGGACTCCTCATGGCATAGGTGGTGGTTTTAGCTATGTTATGGATAAGGTTGTCCAGAGAATTCATGTTATCAAAAGAAGGTCAAGAATGGAGTTCTGGTGCACACTGCTATTTTTTAAAATATGTTTTTATTGACTAGAGAGAGGAAGGGAGAGATAGAAACATCAATGAGAGAGAATCATTGATTGGCTGCCTCCTGCACACCACCTATTGAGGATTGAGCCCCAAACCTGGTCATGTGCCCTGACTGGGAATTGAACCGTGACCTCCTGGTTCATGGTTTGATGCTCAGCCACTGAGCCACACCGGCGGGGCTGGTGTATACCACTATTTAAGGCTCAAGGTGACAAAGGGAAAAAGGAAAGCCTTGGCTACTCATCTTGGTGGAAACGTAAACAGCCTAGATGGAGCTGCCTAGAGTTTGGATTTGCTCTGTGATCTCCAATGAAATTCCAGCCTTGTATACATTTGGTTGACTGCTTAAGTGGCTGCGTGCACTTCAAAATAATACAATTTTATTTTTTAAGATATTCTGTAACTTTTTACCTTCTTTCCAATTGATGAAGTTTATGGTATTTGAAACTATGTTGATAAAGATGGCAGTATATCCAAATATTCATCATCTGATCCTTTTTATGGGGAAGTTTGGCTTTTAATTATATTGATGACAAAATTAATCTAAGGATAAAATAAATATATCACAGAATAAACTGGTTGCTTAGAGAGCACTTAAGACTGAAGAGTTCCATAAAAGAGTTCCATAAGAGTTATTATCAACTTGTGTTACAGGAGGGATTTGATTCCTGTGAAGCATTCCTGTATAAGAGCCTTCCTCTCTGGGATGGCTTCTGTTGTCGATCACAGTTCCTTCAACTTGTGAGCTGGTTTCCTTTTAGCAGCTTCTCTGGTATGTATTATGAAAACTTGGAATAATATATAATTCAATGTAATATTAATGAAAATGATTCTGAATACTTTTTTTTTAATTCCTAGAGGTGAAACCATTTATTTTTGACCGTCTGGCACAGCTCTTCTTTACATCAACCATTTATTTCAAGGTAAAAAACCCCACTATCTTGACTAGATTGAGTAGGGAATATTATCCTCTGGCCAGTGGTATGATTCCAGGCCCACATTATGGTAATGGTTTTCCAACAGGATTCTGTTGGACCTGGACTTGAGGTTCTACATTACTGAAATAAAAGTTAATGCATAATTTTCTGTTTTTAAGATTTTGGTTGCATACAGTTTTCTTAAACTGTTTTTTCTTATAGCAGATAACAAAGTGAATGAACAGGTTGCAAATAAGTATTAATAAAAACAAACTGGGAAATACTTAAGCATATTTAGTTTGATTGTTGTCATCAATATTTTTGTAGATACACTTACTCATTTCACCATTACTTATTGAGCATCCACTATGTGCTAGACACCCTTTTGGTACTGGGAAAACAGTAATGACCAAAGCAAACAAAACTCCCTGTGACATTCATACTATATATTTATAATATTGTCGTTTTCTGCTAATAAAATTGTACCAACCTTATATGATAACTTGTGTTACTCTTTTGGGGTCTCCAAAAGGACTACTGTGGCTTCCAGGAGTTTTACCTGAGTTTGAGAGCAACTTTCTTTCAGTCTGCAGGCTGACGCTCTATCCACTGAGCCAAACCGGTTAGGGCAACTTTCTTATAGAATGGTTATTCCTATTCCAGAAGAGTGACAACATAAATAATATTTCTTTTATAACTTTTCTTCAACTTAGTTCACCTACTGTTGGCCACATTTACGGGAAAAATATGTTATCCTAGAGTTTGTTATAATCAAATGGCATTTTATTAATTACCTATCACGTTAACTTGGATTTGAAATTTATTTGTATTATTTATAATTTATTACTAGACCAATATCATTTATATGACAATACACACCACTTCCAGCTAATGTATTTTCAGGAACTTCATTTTACAGCTTTTTGTGATTCTCTTCTGACCTTCTAATTTGGTTATTTATTTCTTCTCTTATTCCACCAGTCTAGAGAGCTACTTATCTATAAATATTAGGTTGAACCATTATTTTATATGAGGGATATATTTGTATTTGAGAGTGGGAGATGAGGAGAGGAAAGGATTGAGAAAGGGAAATAGGCAGTGGGCTAAGGACAGAATTCAGGAATACTTATTTAATTCTCAGCTAAAAAGGAGAGTCTATGAGGGAACCTTTTCAAGAAGCATTAAAATATAATGTTATTAACCATTGTTACTGGAGTAAATTTAATTTGTAAAAAATATGAAAAGAATCCGGAAAACAATAGTGCCAAGTAAATAAACAATACAGGATATCAAGGAATGAAGTAATAATATTGCCATTATCCCAGGAAGGTCCAGAAAAAAAA